GCGATTATTTTAATCGCGGCTTCATTTCCCTCTGCCGATCTGGCTAATCTACATGCCTCCGTCGACGGAGGCATGTAGTCTAGACACACCCCTAGGTTACCTCCCTCATCCAGTAGGGACCTCACACCCTCTCTGATCACCCTCTTATTGCTAACATGCCTGTAGAAACCTTTCTTGTTCCCCTTCACATCCCTTGCTAGCTGCAATTCCAATTGCGCTTTTGCCTTCCTGATAACTCCCCTGCATTCTCGAGCTATATATTGATACTCCTCCCTAGTCATCTGTCCAAGTTTCCACTTCTTGTCAGCTTCCATCCTGCTCACCCAGGATGTCCCCGGTAAGCCAATCTGGGCACCTACCTCATTTGCTTTTCTTGCTTCGCATCGGGATGGTTTCTTCCTGTGCCTTCAATAAGGCTTCTTTAAAATACTGCCAGCTGTCCTGGACTCCTTTCCCCTTCATGTTAGCATCCCTGGTCCCAGCTCTGCCACCAGACTCCCTTGAGTCTGTCCCTTCCCTGGGTCCATTTCCCCACCTATTCCTGGGACAGGGCGAGGGCTGAGGCTGACCTGACCTGGAGAAGCCCCAGGCCCTGCTCCTGCAGGCAGTGAGAGCCAAGCACTAGGGATGTAGTAGTGTAGAAGCAAAAGCTTATAGGTTAATGCTAGAGACTACACGCATCCCCCCTTCCCCCTCCCTGTCCACCCCTCTCCAGTACATTTTTTAGCAGGCTGGCCAGCAGCCCAGCTCAGTCCTGGCTTGTGCCGGGTCCAGGACCTACCCCCGCTGCAACTCTGCATTTCTAATATATTAGGAACTAGGCAAGCAGGCAGCCCAGTTCAGTCCTGGCTCATGCCGGGTCCAGGACCTACCCCCGCTGCTGCTCTGCATTTAAAGTGTATTAGGAACTAGGCAAGCAGGCAGCCCAGTTCAGTCCTGGCTCATGCCGGGTCCAGGACCTACCCCCGCTGCTGCTCTGCATTTAAAGTGTATTAGGAACTAGGCACGTGGTGGCAGGGGGCTCCTAGGGAGTGGGGCTGGAGCGCACTGGCTGCTGGGCCCACCCCTGGGGACTATCGAATAGTCGAGTAACGGATAAGAACTCATGAGGTTAATCGACTCTTCAATTAACCGATATTTACCATCCCTACTCAGCACAGTGGTGTTTCCTCCGCCACTTGGCGTGCTGGGCCGTGATGCCGGGACGTGCCTCGGGGCTCAGGGGAGCTGGTGGCTCTGAGGAGGGACCAGCACCCTGTGATCTGGGCTTGTACTGGGCACCCCCCTGTGCTCGCTCTGCCTGTGTGGGAACGCTGAGCTCCTGGACTACCCTGCCAAGGGACCATCCAGCCCAGCTCCCATCAGCTGTTCTTGGGGGGGCCCCAGTATCCTGGCCTCCCCCTACCCACCACACCTGGCTGCCATAGTTTGGGTCACGTGGTCCCTGCTGGGCCATGGGGCACGTGCAGATGAGGGCAGCTCTAGGCCCTTGGACTCGGCTGTGCCCTGCCTGAGCCTGGACCGGGGCCCCACTGTTGTGGGCATGGGGTGGGATGTGGGGAGACCCCAATCTTGCTTGCATGGGCCCAGTCAGAGACAGGTTGGGTAAGGCACCGTGCCTGCCCTACGATGAT